CCTTGATGTAATGTAACGTTTAATGCACTCCATGTTGTTAATAACAACAAATGGAATAAATCTGTATTTTTTATATCAATATGGTATAAGATTATCCTATTTAAATCAATGTGATAAACGAGTTAGGTCAAAAGTAATCTAAAAGTAATCAATGTAAAATGTGTAATGTAATGGATTACATTACTAACTAAAATTTTTGCCATGCAATTTGGAATCAGTAGCGGACTACAGTTTGTAAGTAATCAACCCAGCTCTGTGTATGTATATACATATATGGGGTGATCGGAGTATTTCAGAAACTGCTGATCTACTAGGATTTTCACACATATCCATCTCTAGCATTTACAGAAAATAGTCTGAAAAAGATCAAATATCCAATGAGAAGCAGTTCTGTGTGTGTGAAAATGCCCTTTGGAAAACGAGGTGAATGGCCAGCTAGAAAGGCAACAATAACTGAAACATCCACTCGGTACAACCGAAGTATGCACACAGCAACACACAGCACATTGAACGTTGAAGCAGATCCCATCTGCAGCAGCAGAAGACCACACCGGATACCAGTCCTGCCAGCTAAGGACAGGAAAGTAAGGCTACAATTTGCACAAGGCTCACCAAAACTGGATAATATAAGATTGGAAAAAGGTTGCCTGGTCTGATGAATCTTGATTTCTGCAGTGATATTTGGATGGTAGCGTCAGAATTTGGCATAAACAACATGAAAGCATGGATCCATCCTGCACCTTGGGCCCTTTAGTAAGAAACTGAGCATCGATTAAATGTCACAACCTACCTGAGTATTGTTGCTGCCCACATCTATCCCTTCAGAACCACACTCTACCTATCTCGTGATGGCTACTTCCAGCAGGATAACGTGCCATGTCACAAAGCTCAAATCATGTCAAACTGGTTTCTTGAACATGACAGTGAGTTTAGTGAGATCTAATGGCCTCCACAGTCACCAGATTTCAATCCAGTAGCACGTTTGGGATACGGTGGAACTGGAGATTCACATCAGGATGTGCAGCTCATTCTCTTCGGAAAATGTAAATGTCTACTTCTCATTTTTTTTCTTTCACCTGATCCTAATTATATAAAAAAAACATGACATGCATTTGTTCTGATCCGGTAAGGTCCATGGTGGCTAACTGTCACCATTTTTCCTGTTATCACAGATAATTCTTTTGCAGAGAGGAGAGTAGCGTTGATGACTGCAGCAGAGTTCGGCTTGCCTGGGGCTGCTTGGCAAACATTACAGTGCACAGTCATCTATAACATTTACAGGGTTCATTGCTCATGAAAAACCAATCAAAAAATTGCCATATTTCTGGTGGTGGAAGTCATTTTCACCCCCTCTGATGGAATCAATGAGGTTTGCATTTACATTTTCAGGGAAGTGCGATTCTTCGGGTGAGAAAGCTCAAAGTGACCTGGGGGGTATTGCACAAAAGCAAGATAAGGGATTAAGCTGGGATTTTCCAGTTATCCTGGTTGAATTTAGCCCTGACTCAGTTGCATGAAAGCAGGCTAAATTAAGCTAAATTATGTTGCTATGGAGATTTATTCTTTGCAGCTAGCCTGCTCCAGAGCAGGCTAACAACCAGGCTAAGATTAATCCTAGTGATTTATCTGTTAGTTCCGCTGTCAATCCTACTAGAAATTAATGTTTTACAGTCACTCCATGGTCTTCTGTAAATATGTTGCATCATTGTAATTATTCTGCATTCAAATACTAGATATAGTCATTCATCGAAGTATGCCTATTTTAGTGTTATTATGAAGACTGTTCATATTGCTGTCAGAGGTTTGATGAATACATATATTATTGCAGTTGTTGAGAATCTAAGAAATGGCTGATGAAGTTGCAAAGGTGGTTTCATTTAAGTCCATGACGAGGTCAATATGTAGTATATATAGGCTTAAGTCCGATTCAGGTGTTTCCTCTTAACGATGGCGTGCCCTTTGTTGGATGATGTACTAGACGAGGAAGTGTTAATACTCAGACGAGCATTCAGGCATGAAAGAGTCTTCCGGGACAGGTCAGACCCGTTGGCCTTTGCAGACGAATATCTGACTGAGAGGTACAGATTCTCAGGTGATGGCATCCGATATCTGTGTAGGCTGCAGATACAACAGATACAACACAGAACAGTGCGAAGCCACGCTCTCACTGTCCCACAGATGGTCTGTGTGGCCTTAGCAAGTTTAGCAAGTGGCATGTTCCTTTATTCTGTTGGAGATGCTGAAAACCTCAATAAAGGCACTATTTGCCGCACGATAAGAAATAAAGTTAGTCTAGCACTGAAATCACTTGCGCACATATTCATCACCTTCCCTGGCCACAGAAGATTCCACCACATCAAGGAGGAGTTCTACAAGATTAGATTACACTAATTACAGATTACAACAAAAAAGTGTTACATTAGCACAGTCACAGTAGGAAACTCATTTTTTGAGGATCACAGTATGAGGATCGTTTGAACTCACAATGATTTCATATACTACTCACACCGTGAGGATCACAGTATGAGGATCGTGTGATGTCACTGTGATCATCGCATGATCTCACGTGTTGACTGGGTAGGTAAGCCACCCCAATTGTTTTAAGCACCTTGGACATCATGTGTGTGTCAGAAGTTTTACTCTGCTAGTTGTAAGAATTATATTTTGTATTCTCAGGTGAGTTCTCTGGTGTGCTGCTAGGAGACAAAGGTTATGCCTGTGAGACGTTCCTGTTGACCGCCCTTGCAGACCCCCAAACTCCAGCACAGCAGGCTTACAGCCATGCCCATGCCAGAATGAGGGCTCGAATCGAAATGACCTTCGGCCCCCTGAAATCACGATTTCAGTGCCTGCACCACCTGAGGGTCTCCCCAGACAGGGCCTGTGACGTGACTGTTGCCTGCACAGTGCTGCACAATATTGCCAGCCTAAGAAAAGAAAGGGCTC